TTCCCCTCTTCCTTTCCTACAACCCAAGAAGCAAAGGACCTTAAGGAAAGGATTACCTATGTCCAGATTAGGGAAAGCTGTAGGTAGGAGCACTTCAGTTTGACCTAGAAGAGTCAATATTATATTTGATGGTAGTTCAGAAATGCAACTTAAATTCAGTTACTTATTTGTAACCAACAGCTTAGCATAAAAGGTGTTAAAATTTCCTGGGGATGATAGATGGGAAACACCATCATTTCATTGAGTTAATTTTTAGGCTCCCAATACCAACTTTTGCAGTTGAATTTCTCACATTTGAGGAAATCTCAGGGGTCAGCACATCTGGAATGCAATGGATAAACCTTGCCCTGGGAAAACCACCTTCACCACCTTTGTGATCACGGTATCTCCCCTGCCAGGTTAAGTATACATTAAGAATTTATCAAGGGAATTTACATATGAGGTGTGCCTTGTGGACAACATGGAACATACTCCATGCCATTTGGCAGGCGACAAGGGGTGTAACCCACCCCAAATAAGGGGTAAATGCCTTGCATACTTGCTTGGAGCAGGACAACAGTGCTTTCTTGGAACCAGCATGTGTGGGACATAGAGGACAGGTAGATCATAGTCTGGAGGATTTTCAGGAAGTAATGTTTTGACCAAGATCTAGCTAGCCATTTGGGGCAGTACTCACTCTTGGAATAGTTTCTCCTCCACAAAAGTTATTTTCATAAAATACAAATCCCTGCCATTTAAAAACCTACTCCAGTTGGGGAGAAGTCAATGAGGAAAAAGACATATATAATACTATATATAGTACTTTAAACAATAAAGATTAAAAAAAAAAAGGAAAAGTATTTTACTAACTAAACTCAATTATTGAAATACTAATAAATACTAAAACTTTTTTTGCATGACCATATTAATATATTCTAGAAATGAAAAAAATTAGAAAATTTTTTTATTTTTATTCTCTTGGTACTCTTAAGTGTTTGCAGCAAATGACAGGAAGAATATATATAATGTATTCAAATTTAATTTCTTATGCAAGTTTCTGTGTATGAACATAAAAAATTATTTTAACAAGATCAATAAAGTGTCATTATTTTCTATTAAAAAACCCCACAGAAATAAAAAAATAAATAAATAAATAAAAACCTATTCCACACCCTTATGCTACTCTATTATCACACCTCATCAAAACTTCATTATATAAGGGCCCAGAGCAGCCGGGTCTGGTGCGGCCAGGCCCGGAGCAGCAGCTGCCAGGCTGGGAGCGGCCAGGCCCAAAGCAGCAGGGTCGGGTGTGGCCAGGCCCGGAGCAGCAGCAGCCAAGTCCAGAGCAACTAGGTCGGGAGTGGCAGTGACCAGACCCGGAGCAGCTGGTTGTGGAACGAACCAGAGCAACAGAGGCCAGGCCCGAAGCAGCCAGGCCCGGAACAGCTCGCTCCTCGCCTGCCCTTGCCTCACGGCTGCCTCTCAGACATGGCTGGAAACTTTTGTGGGAACTTGAGGGTCTGCTGAATCAAGTGATGAAGGCTTAGATCTGATGTGTTGAGTTAGTATAGGGCTGGGGTGTTGATCTGTGAGTGCCTTGGGTGGGGCCTGGATGAGGCTGGTTGACCTATTTGGAAACGTCTTTTGTGTGAAGTGTATCATTGGGCATGTGGAGGTATTATTGATATGAGAAAATGCTAAGTAACTGATTTACTATCTGAAAAGGGATTTACTATCAGGGAAAGGGAGGGAGGAAGAGACTGAACATAAACTGTGCACCTATGGATGAGGACAATGGGGGATGGGAGGGGGAGGAGGGTGGGATGGGAACCTGGTGGAGGGGGGAAGAAATGAGGAACCTTTGTAATAATATGAACAATAAAGATTGATTAAAAAAAAAACAACTTCATTATATAAAATACTTTGTTGCATGTCTACTCCAATTTCAGTATAATTTGACTTCTGGCCCCACCCTACATTGGTAGACTTGCTCATTCAAAAATCACCTTCTGCCCTAGTCACTTCAGCTCAGTAGTTAGAGCAGCCGTCACCAATCTTTTGGACCTCATGAACCACCAGTGTGGTCTGTGGACCACCAGTTGGCAACTGCTTAGTTAGGGGGTTGGCCCTCAGACTGAAGGGTTTCGGGTTCATTTCCATCAAGGGCATGTACTTCGGTTGCAGGCTCAATTCCCAAGCCCAGACAGGGCACGTGTGCAAGAATCAACCAAATGATTTGTCTTTCTCATATTGATGTTTCTCTTTCCATCTCTCCCACTCCCTTCCACTCTCTCAGTATCAATGGAAAAAAAATATCTTTAAGTGAGGATTAACAAAAAATCACCTTCAAACCAAACCCAATGGTCAGTCCTATTTTACTACCAATGCACCTGGTCCATATTGTAGCATTTATTACATACCCGAGTTTTATTATTCATCTTTGTATCTTAGTACCAATGGGAGTTATAGGCACAAGGTATTTTTATAATATTTGTAAATTCAACAAATGTTTATTGTGCACACTGTATCAGGCATTATGCTGGGGACAGAGAAAACAACCCTAACCTCAAGTTCACATGTTTACAGCAATGTTTGAACCACCCCATCTAAAAAAATAAGGAATGCTTAAATCTGGCCAAAGATAACAGCCATTTAACCAGAGCTGGGAAATTCTAACCCAAGCTGTAACTTTGTAGTGTAAAGCTTCTTGTGTGTTATACATCATTGAGTCTGCTCAGACTCCTGGCAAGCCATAATGAGTTTTGTCCCCAATGTCCTATCCTCAACAGCCCTGCTCAGCTCCTGTAAACTCATGCCTATGGCTTCTTTCATGGAGTCAATTCACCTTATTTTTGGTCTTCCTCTTTTCCTTTCTATTTTCTCCGGCATTAATGTCTTTTCCAAAGAACCCTGCCTTCTCATGGTATACATAAAGTAGGACGATAAGGCCTCTTACATAACACTTAATTCATTCCCAAAAATGTTCTAGGTGTTAACAGATGTCAATTCATTTAATCCTCTCAACAGTCTTAGGAGATAGGCACTACTGTCCCCATTTTACAAAAGAGGAAAGAGGCACTGTAAGTAATTTGTCCAAAGTTACACAGATTTTTAAGGGCAAAGCTGGTAGTTTAAGTCAGGCATTCAGGATATTTACTACACTATAATGTCTTGTGGTAGTTTTCTTTTTTTAAAGAGAGAGGGGGAATTCAGCCCTTTGTAGATAGCACTCTTTTAAAAATAAATATATATTAATTTCAGAGAGAAAAGGAGAAATAGAAACATCAATGACAAGAATCATTGACTGGCTGCCCCTTACTGCGGGTCAAGCCTGGGCATGTGCTGGAATTGAACCTGGGAGGGACCCTTTAGTCTGCAGGCTTACCTCTACCCACTAAGCTACACCAGCTAGAGCGAGATAGCCTTCTTTTAAGCAGAGAAGCAGAACAGAATTGCTGTAGGAGACTCATGGAAAACGTATTTGGCAAAGCACCCAGCAAGCAGTGTCTAGAGATCCTTGATTGCCTAGCTGAGCATTTTGAAATTCTGGTGGCTAGCAACCATCTTTTCCTATAAGCCATAGTAAAAAGAATATACTACATTGTGCCGGGACCGGTTTGCTCAATGGATAGAGCGTCGGCTTGGGGACTGAAGGGTCCCGGGTTCAATTCCGGTCAAGGGCATGTATCTTGGTTGCGGGCATATCCCCGGTAGAATCTCTCATCGATGTTTCTAACTATCTCTCTCCCTTCCTCTCTGTATAAAATCAATAAAATATATTTTAAAATATATATATATACTGCATTGTAACCAACTACATTCAGATATACACGTACATGTATTTTATATATCTATACACACATATATAGTGTCTCCCCAAAAATGTATAACACATTTTGAATAATCATAAAGGCCATGTTTATTAAAATACATTTCATTTTTAAAACTGTGCTATCAGCTATTAAAGTGTGTGTACATTTTGGGGGGATACCTTATATATAGATAATTATATACTTAAAACTTAACTTTTTTTAAAAAATATATTTTATTGATTTTTCACAGAGAGGAAGGGAGAGGGATAGAGAGCTAGATAGAGAACATCCATGAGAGAGAAACATCAGCTGCCTCTTGCACATCCCCAACTGGGGATGTGCCCGCAACCAATGTACATGCCCTTGACTGGAATCGAATCTGGGACCCTTCAGTCCGCAGACTGACGCTGTACCACTGAGCCAAACCGGTTTTGGCAAAATTTAACTTTCTTAAAAGAATATTTCTTATTCCATGTGCCATACATGTGCTGATACTTTTTATTCTATTTTACTTTTTTTTTTCCCTGAGGAAGAAGGAGGGACTCTGTTTAATTCACCAGCGGATTCAGGGAACATATTTTACTTTTTTTTAATTTATTAAAAGCTGATTTAACCTCCTAACTTAATTCATGATCCACAGTAATGGGTGGTAACTGTATGAAAAGTACGTTAGGTGCTGTTCTCCCAAACAAGTAGTATTGAGAAATAACCAGTGATGTGCTTTGGAAAGATAAAATTAAGCAGCAGAAAAAATTATGAGAAAAAAAGGAGACTGTAACAATAACACAGGAGAGTTAATGGGAATGAAGAGAACTTTTGTTTAACATAGAACTAAAATTTCAGGGGCTTCTAACACAGAAATAATATGAACTTACTGACTGGATATGCAAGGAAACAGAGATAGCAGAGCCAGATTTCCAGCCCAGGTGGCTGAGCACATGAAGTGCCTTTAAAAGGAATGGGGAAGTCAGTGAGAGGCAAGTATATGTGTATGTAGGATTATCAATTTTATTTTGAACAAAGAATGTTTGTAAGATTTGGAGAAAATCAGTAGTAACCTGACTATAGCACAGAAATTAAGATTAGACCCAAACGGAAATGCAGGGTTTAACCCAAAGAGTAGTTCAAGTTATAACAGAAGATGAGATAGCCCAAAAGTAAGGGGGTGGGGGGGACCTTTATGTTTGAGAGAAGAAAAAAAAAGAAAAAAAGAAAAAAAGGAAGAGAAGTTCCATAGGGAATGAATGAATTAAAAGTGGCAAATGCTACTTAGATGGAGGGATCAGGACTAAGAAAACAGCACTGGATTTAGCTAATAAGAGTAAGAGGTATCATACTTGAGTGAGTGGTACCAAATTCAAAACGGTTAAGCAGTGAGTGATGGTTAGAAAACAAAGTAAATTCAAGTTTGTCTAGACCCCTCCCGAATCCTCTCATCCCAGAAGCACTGGTTGGATTTGTAGTCATAGGGCTCTTTTCAGGGGTGGGGGTGGTGTCTGTGGCCCTCCAGATGGTGAGTTGAATGATTAAGTCAAGCTTTTCGTGGATAAGTGTTCTAAGTCCCAGGCTAACATCTGCTTGTTGGTGTCTTACGCGCTGTCAGCGGCCCCCATCGGCGCCGGGGGTGTCCCCGCTCCCCGCTGCGCTCCGGGCCCGGATGTGGGAGGCGAAGGCCATGAGCATCTCCTGGGCGGTGAGGTGGGCGCCGCGCATGACCAGGCGATGCCCGTCTCCTGGGGGAGAAGCGAATGAGTCAGGTACGAGGAGGACCACAGGGCCCAGGGGGCGCGGGCTGCCTGCCGCCCTTCCCGCCCGACTCTCCCGGCGAGCCCACCGAAGAGCACATCCACGCGGGGTTCGGAGCCGTCGTGCCGCACGTCCACAGTCACCGAGCATTTCAAGTTGGTGGCGCGGACCTTGTCGCGGCTCACCGCCTGGAGGAAGGTCCTGCGGCGGGAGAGCCGCGTGAGCGCCGGGCCGAAGAGCGCGAGGCCCCCGGCGGGAGAGAAGGGCGTCCTTTCCCGTTCCCTCTCCCTTCCCCCAGTACCTCGTAGACTCCACGTTGTTCTCGAAGGGGCAGAACTGAACCCGAACCTCCTTGACGGCCCGCAGTCCTAGCCGAGCCACGGCGGCCGCCGCCATGGTAACCTCCGCCCCGGAAGCACTCGTTCGGTCAGACGTGTCATCAGGGGAGGTTGTGAGTGGCTGCGCAGCCGCAGGCCCCGCCCCTCGGCCTCCGCAGAGCACAGGCCCCGCCCCTCGGCCTCCGCAGAGCACGGGCTCCCTGCGCCTTGGGTCGCGTGGGACGGCTGACCACGCCACAGACGAAGAGTTGGTTTCGGCACAGATTATGGAGGGGCCCAAAGCAATTGGTCAGCGAATACTACCTACCATTCATAGCCCTGTGGTGACCCCATAACGACTGTGTAAGAGCCGTCTGCTCCTGGCTTTGAAAACAGGTCTGTCTTCTGCATTTCCCCTTCTAGGTTAACACCAGCTTAGGCGCTGTCCCTCACAAGGAGGACACCATCACCACGGCAGGGATTATCACTTACCAGGGAGTGACCCCACCCAGGTCATTGAAAATTAAACATGTTGAACTCTCAGTGACCAAAACTTAAACGGGAAGGTCATACAGCCCAATATGGTGCAACTGCTGAAAGTAGTAATGGGGAGGACAAGGTAATACAACCCTTGGGACAGCCCCAGCTATAGACTGTTTCATCTCTGTGGTTCCTGATGTACTCACTTTATGTTTGATCTGACTCTGGAGATTTAAGAAGTGGCATCTAGACTCGCCCCCTCATTCCCTTTCCTCTGGGATACAACCCTGGGGTCCTCCTTCCAGTGTCTAGCCCTGAGATGTCTTCACTGACGGGAATTAGACCTGAGCCTCCTGGCTCCAGGCTGTGGTATTGCCATTTACTCTGGATTCCAGATACTGGAGTGTCCCTGGATTCTTAGCTTGTAAGCCCAGGCTGTGTAGTTTGTTCTCACGTATGTTTTCTTCCAAGCTTCGGATGTAGGCTTACCAGGCAGTTCCAATGTCTATGCTTTTCCAGCCAGAAATGCAGAGCATTGACTTTCTTGCTGCCGATTAGAGTCCTTAGGGTTCAGGACTGGTCTCCAGGCAGGAGAGAAAAGGCAGTTGCCACCAGGGGCGGCGCTGGTGCTGCCTTAGGGCAAGCCAGGCTTGCTGATTTCCCACCAGGTAAGCCTCAGGGCTAGGTCCCCCACCCCACAGCATGCTCAGCAGCTGAGCTGTCTGTGCTGGGGGTGCTCCAGGCCGAAGAGGGGGCTCCAAGCTCTCCAGGCTGTTGAGGCTGCTGCTGGGCAATTCCAAGGTTTGGACCTCCTTACACGCACCTGGTAAGGCAGGAGTGGAAAGGAAGTGGCTGCTGGGGAGTTGCTGAATGATGAGCTTAGGGGATGGGTCTTTAAAGTAGTAAGTGAGGCCCAAAGAGCCTGGAGTTGAGAAGGGGGAGTGACTCACAGCAACAGGGAGGCCTTCTGTGGACTTGAGTCTTGGGCAGGGGCTGCTGCAGTAGACACAGCAGGGCCCCATCCAGCTGCTGGAAGATGCTGAGCGTGAACAGATTCTGGCGAAGTTCAGGGGACAGGCCCCACTGCTCTTCTTCCAACAGCTCTCGGACCACTCCAAAATCTTGTCTAAGCTGCAGTGTCCCCTGCAGGCTGAAGGCCGAGGTACAAGGTGACCACCTGACCCTCTGGTCTCCCTAAACTGCTCTGCCCCACTTATCCCCTCCCTTATTCCAATTCCATTCACCCCCCCCCCATCTCTCCCCCCGCCACTACTTCCTTTCTCCCCACCTGAACCGGATCCCATGGGTGAGGATGTGGTCCAGCCAGGCACTCAGGATGGCTGTCAATGCCTGGACAAGAGCAGGGGCCTGGGCTGGAGGTAGCAAACCCTGCAATCCTTGCAATACAGGCTCCAGTACAGTGCGGACCACCAACCTAGCATACTCACTAGGAATGCTGGGAAGTTCTGGGGTAAGAGAAAAGGAAGGACAGGATATAAGGTTACTGAGATCCATGAACACCCTATGAAGTGATTGGGGGAAGACAGTAGGATTTCCAGTGTGGGGGTAGGATTTGAAGGGGTCTGGATACTCTTACCCCCTGGGAACCCTGAGGATGCTGGAACGAGGAGTTACCAGAACAAAGGCGCCGCCGCCAGTATCGACCCCGTGGCATGTGAAGTTCGAAGCCCTGTGTAGCTTGTTTATAGCATTCTTGAAAAAAGAGACTCAGTGACTCTTCAGGCAGGAGCTGTGGGCACGGTGACAAAGTAAAAGGGGTTTGTCTGTTAGGGCAATGGTCGGCAAACTAATTAGTCAACAGCCAAATATCAACTGTCCAATGAAATTTCTTCTGAGAGCCAAAAACCGACTTCTGCGCATGGGCCACAAAGTTTCAATCGCACTGTACGTGCGTGCCCACACGTGGTATTTTGTGGAAGAGCCACACTCAAGGGGCCAAAGAGCCGCAGTTTGCAGAACACTATTAGGGGCTTGTCAAGTTCTGATGCTTTTCTAAATCTGAGCTGTTTAACCTGGCATCCATAAAACCCAAGAACAGAATTGTATACATAATTGTGTGGCTCAGGCATTTTCTGAGGACAGATACCATCGCTTTTACTGCATTTTCCAAAAGGTCTAAACCCAGAAAAGATTATGGATAATTGCCCTAAGATATCCTGCTCTTTCCTGCTTGGTTCAGGGGATAGAAATCCTCCAGATTAATTTTTTCCTAGAGGAACATTAATAGGAAAGAGAGAGAAAGACCCTCACCACAACCAATGTTCAAAAGCAAATGCTAGGGAGAGGCTGAAGAAAAGGGAGTTGTACAATATCTGGCTATCATTTATGAAAGGAAGGCAGGAACTGGGTGAAGATCGGAAGCAATGACTGTAACTTTCTGAGATTCAAGAACCTTTGGGATGTCCTTACACTGAGTATTCTGACAGCCTACTTGCATTTCTCCAGAGCAGTGCAAACCCATAAAGTAAGAAAAGGCCCTGGTTTGGTTTCCTCGGTTTGATAGATTTTGTTTTTTATTGATTTCAGAGAGGAAAGGAGAGGGAGGGAGGGAAGAAGGGAGGGAGATAATCATCAATGATGAGAGAGAATCATTGATGGCTGCCTTTTGCACGAACCCTACTGGAGATCGAGCTTGCAACCCAGGCATGTGCCTTGACCAGAATCGAACCTGGGACCTTCAGTCCACAGGCCAACGTTCTATCCACTGGGTCAAACCAGCTAGGGCTAGGTTTTGTTTTTGAAGGGGGAAATGGCAAAAAAGAGAGGGTCTCTATAGCCCATCTTGGAGGATAAGCACCCCAAGATATAGGGTTTTTTAGTAGCAGGTCTGTAAAGAAAAGGTGACTAAATGCCAGCAAGCCTGGAGAGAGGAAGGAGTCTGGGGGGCTGGACATGGGGGTGAGGCTGGAACCCATTGGGTTCCTGGTACATATCCTGACAACAGCCTCTCTAAACCAAACCTCTTCTCCCCTCCCTTATTTATGCCAAGGAAATGACCCCTCTGTCAACTGATATTGGTTGGGAACCTCTGCACTCAATACTCAGTAAATGCAAGATCACACGATGAGACAGTCTCTCTGGGGCATTACAGTCCAGTTGGGGAGAAAACTCACAACATCAATTCTTTTTCATCCCAGTACTGTGTGTGGTGGAATGCCAGATAGAGGAACAAGGCATCAGAGTGCTTTGTACAGTGTTTGGTTCATACAGTGAGCACACTATTTCTGTTCCTTTTGCTCTGTTCTCGCCACCACCACCAAGAGCTGGACGGTATGTCTCTTCACCTCCCTTCCTCCCGACCACTGTAGCTGGATCAAACACCATCACTGCCTTCACTGTTCCCCTCCCACTCTTAAAATGGCTCCCTACACTCATTAGATAAAGTCTTGATTCTGTGCACTAGTGTTCAATGCCCTCCATCTGCTTACTCCTCCACAGGCCCCCACCCCACCCCAAAAACACACAAACCCACTGCATACAAAGGGAGTTTCTGCTTTGGTCAGGCCGTCTCTCCACTACTCTCCCAAGGAACTATGAACTGTCCGCTTCCTGCCACTCCTCTAAAGCTGCCAAGCCACCCGTGAGCCATAGGCCTCGTATGGACCTCCTGTCACCACATGCCCGCCACTGTCTTCTGTCCTCAGAGCTCCCATAACCATCACTATCCACCCTAATCATAAGGAGCCTGCTTTGGGGCATGCTGAGTTGAAGAAGGCAGCAGTAAGTGAAGGTGGAAATGTCCACTAGGCAGATGCGGATGCTGGATCAGAGCTGTATGGGGTTGGAGTGGGGACTCACAGCACCAAAGCACTGAGGAGCAGGAAGGCAGAGAGAAAAGAGCAGGGAGACAAGGACTGGACTCTCAGCTTTGCCCTTATTCAGGGCAAAGAGGAGAAATTTGGGTAGGAAGAGAGAACAAAAGATAGACATCTTCCATATAGGAATAGATAATGTGAAAAGTGGAAAAATGGAAGCATAATAGTTTTATTCATAAATTTAGAAGAAAATAAGAAATGTTAGAAGAAATAGCCACGCCCAACCTGCGAGGTTCAGTGGTTGAGTTTCGACCTATGAACCAGCAAGTCATGGTTCGATTCCCGGTTGGGGCACATGCCTGGATTGTGGGCTCATCTCTAGTAGGGGGCAAGCAGGAGGCTGCTGTTTAATGATTCTCTCTCATCATTGATGTTTCTATCTATCTCTCCCTCTCCCTTCCTCTCTGAAACCAATAAAAATATAAAAAGAAGAAGAACCAGCCAAGAGTGGATGAAAGTTACCACTGTGGAACAGGAATCAGAGGTGGGAGTGGACATTAGGAACCTTCTAAAATTGTATTCTATTTCAATTTTAAACTATGGACATGTATTACTTTTTTAAAAATATGTTTTTATTGATTTGAGAGAGAGGGGGAAGGATAGAGATAGAAACATCAATGAGAGAGTTACGGACGAGCTGCCTCCTATACGCCCCCACTGGGGACTGAGCCCACAATCTGAGGATGTGTCCTGACCGGGAACGGAACCAATGACCTCATGGTTCATGGGCTGACACTCAACAACTGAGCCACACCAGATGGCTGGACATGGATTACTTTAATAAAAGTACAAATTATATGTTTTTAAAAGAGGAGAAACATTGTATTAAAAACTAGTAAATAAAAAGACTCAACCATTTATCTTGCTTTTTCTCT